TGAGTCAGAGGATAACAGGCAGGCAGAACTTGTTATGAAGTGTTTATCTCGCTTGTGTGGTTTTAGCCACTTGCTTGAGGTTGCACTGGAGCACTCCTTCGCTTCTCTCCGATGGTGATGTCCGCTATCTGGATCTGCGGCTTCACTATGCTTCTCTTGTCCTTGCGCCCCTCTGATGGCCTTGGACGCGTTTCTTTCTGATCTTTCTTCTTGCGAAGGGCTCCTATGTGCAGATCTCAAGGTGGCGAAGACCTCACGCGCGGAGTTTCAGTTATAGTTTTATGGAGATTCATGTCCTAACTCTGCACCGACTTGAGAGGGGGTGTCAGAAGTGCAAGTCGGTCCAGGGTTTAGGGTCTAGGGTTCATAGACCGACGATCCACTGATCTGTGAGACAGGACGGCTGTTGAGTCTGTCCGTTCCATGAGACAGGCCATGGCGGACAGGACGTCAGACAGGATGGACTGACGCATACTACATGTCCTACGTGGACTCTCCACAAAAACCACAGACCTTACGTTGCATTGACTTAATCCTTTATCCGGGACTGACCGCCCGGCAGATCCTCTCTTCACCATTCTCCCCGACTCTCTCCCCCCTATTCTGACAGCATGCACGAGCTTTTCTCCTTCCGAAAAGACATCTCGGTGAGCCGTCATGTAGCTCAGTATCAGCACACGAAGTTTCCGCTTTCCAGGAGGGCATTTTCATGAAGTCCGTTACGCCATCCGCCATATGCGATTCGCGCACGGGCGGAGAAGAACTAGCCTAGAGCACTCCCCCAGCTGGTGCTTTTGGGGGGTCGTGAATCGTTCTAGGGGGCAGCCGTCTCATCGCTCTTTCCGATAGGTGGATGCCCAAGTCGCCATCTACCCATCTCCGGGCTGCCGCGGCTCTCACTGATGTGTTCGCACCCCGCGGTTCCTCATCAACGCAGTGTCGTTCATATCGCGTCCCCGCTGCTGAGTGGCTCGAGAAGCAAAAGAAGCTGGAGGCTCTTTTCAGAGCAGGGCAGCAGCGCTGGACGGGAAGGAGCAACTGTCGAGCGACTTGGGCCAAGTGGCTGAGGGTCGAGGACACCCGGACAGGGGCAGCCATATTCGTCCGCTCTGCTGGACATCTTGCTCATCTTACTGGCGTCTCTTTGGGAAACGTCGGGCGCATCCTTGCCACACAGCAGCTGCTCTTTGGCTGCTTTCGTCTCACGTACCTTGGTGCTGAGCGTGACTCGGCAACGACACAGAATGATGATGATTGGCGAAAAGTTGGAGACATCAAGGGACTGGAAGAATCTCCGTTTGCCTGTCTGAACGTGTCCAAACATGGTGAGTTCGAGTACCCAAGTGGCTACAGGACATTCGGACAGAAGACAGCATATGGCTATCTTAAGGTGACAGCGGGCAGGGGAAAGTATCTTAAGGTGACAGCGGGCAGGGGGAAGGCGCAGCATGCCCACCGGTTGGTTGCTGAAGTCTGGAGGCCTGAAGAGAAGCAGGCATTTTTCGACGCGAATCCGGGAAAAAACCCAGTCGTCCACCACATTGATGCCAACAAGACGAACAACCATATGGATAATCTCGAATGGATATCACAGGGCGAAAATGTCAAGAGAAGCCATCAGAGCGGAAGCCGAAGATGCGGCGGTCTTACGTGTGCTGTTTCAGTCGTTGCCACTTGTGGGAACACCGGTGAAGTCCGAGAGTATCCGTCAATGAGAGAAGCGGCTGAGAAGATCTGCATGAGCGCGGATGGTATCCGAAAAGCCATCAAAGATGCGCAGCTTTGCGGTACACTATGTATTTCAAAGAGAGCACGGCCCGACTTGGAAGGGGAGAAATGGCGCCCCGTGACCGAGGAAACTCTCAACGGGGCAAAAAACCGACCGAGAGATACGTGCACTCAGCGAGAACCCATTGCGATTCAAAAGCGGGAGGAAAACTCTGGGTTGCCATCGTCCTGACGGATACAGGATTGTCAAGCTGCGCCCACGGGACTATCTTGTGCATCGACTGGTTGCTGAAGTCTTTCATCCAAAGGCGAAGGAGACCCTGCGGCAGAGGCTGCAGAACGAAGGGATAGATGATCCTCGCTACATTCAAGTCGACCACATTAATGGCGACCCCGGCGATAATCGGAGTGCGAATCTTCGTTGGGTGTCGCCAAGGGAGAACAACCTCAATCATCGAAGACGGAATGGGCAGGGGATGTGAATAAATGATGCTGTACACTCATGGGCTCCTACATGACTTCATTTGACCACTTTGGGAGCAATTCCTTCTGTAACAGTTCTGCAGTCCCTTATTGCTAGCGAACACGGCCACGAGACACAAAAAATACACGAAGCCTGGGGCCACTCAGGCCTAATTTCCCTCAAACCCACAGTCCAACGCCGCAATCCCCCAATGGGACATCAAAAATAAAGAGGCCCACACAGGCCTAAAGGATCGAAACCCCTCTACGAACAATCCGACTGCCAAGCACCAATCGACTAAGAAACGCCCTACTCACGATCGTCTTCTGAAAGCAAAGTGCGTGTCTGTATGCTTGCCTGTCTGCATTTGGTTGTTTAGAAAGAGAAGACGTCCTGGACCATGCCAACCGAGTCGACATTCAAGCCGGCGAAGCCGACGAGGCCACGTGTGAGTTCGTGTGTATCGCTGATGGCCTGCAATTGAACCGTCAGCTCGTGCAGCGACTGGGCACCCTGCATGGATAGACGTAGGCAGAGACACAAACATTCATAACCACGTGATGGCCCGTGTGCCGATCAGATCAGATAAGCTGCCCGACTGACCGAGAAGGTGAAGTCAAACCAGTGGGGAAAGCTCCAGACGACCCAGTCGAAGGACGCCACCCGCAGCACGGCCATCAGCAGGAGAGACAGCAGGCAGAAGAAGATTATCGGCTGCAACATTTCAAAAAAGCAGATGAACGAGTATCGGCTGCAGTATCTCCAAGGCTGAAAGAGACCTACCTGGAGGATAAAGCTGTTTAGGAATTCGACCGAGCACACCATCACAAAGTCCTGATAGATCAGATAGGATGGCTGGCCCTCGAGGCCGCTCTCCACCAGCTGCGACGAGAATGCGAAGAGGAGCAGGAAGGAGCAGCACGCGAACCAATAGAGGAACCCAATGGTGATGCCGATCCGTTCCTTAAGCCGCCAGCGGGCCAGCACGGCGATCTTCCTTTCCAATGAGAAATGACCTGACCGACAACACATGACAAGAGACACGCATTCAGTTGGATGGATGTCTCTGTGTATCCCGTTACCAGAATGGCGTCCTGTCAGGTCGGCGATGCGTCGAAGGGTCGTGACAGTGGCGCGCCTCGTTTGCAACGATGCCAACTTCTGTGCGGTCATCTTTTGCTGCGCACGCAAGCCGCCCACCATCGCCCCGTACTTTATCTCTGCACGCCGATACCCATACACTATGCACAGTGCAGTTCCCCAATGTGTCTCTCTCGGTGCATTACCCTCTCTAGTGGCCGACGGGATGATGTGGGGGACTGCTTTGCGGAAGAGGAAGAGCAGCGTCAGCGGAATGGGCTTAGAAAGCAGGATCGACCAGATGAGCACGGCGATCTGTCGGAGTGTGAGGAGCCACCGCACGCCGCCCGACTGCCAGGCCATCAGCACTGTGCTGTCGTCCTGCCGACGGCTGTATCGGCCCTGGTCGAAGAAGACGGCGCACATCGTCAAGATTCCCAGACTGATACTCCCAAAGAAAAGGGTCCGTTGCACGGCGGTGAACCTGACTCATCAGACAAAATGGGACCCACTCTTGTTATGTGCCTCCCTCAGTGTCTGTCGTCCTCAGTACGTGGGGTTGAGTATGAAGAGCTGTGACAAGCCACACGCAGCCAACCACACAGCGAATGCCATCGCGCTTCCTTTCATGCGTCTGTGTGTATGCCTTTCACCTTGAGGAGGGGGTGGTCTCGACGGCAAACCTCACGGAACATCTTTGGAGCGCCCCACTCCACATACCCGACACGACGCAGTGTTCGGGTGACCATCAGGTCAACCTCGGCGTTTAAATCCACCCACAGCTGTGTCACGCTCTTTCGACGAGTCGCCTGGGCGGACATGCTGCGCCGCCGCATGCCCTTGCCGACGCCATCGGCGGGCGGGATGGAGATCATTACTGACTTTGTCGAATCACGGCGCAGCTCTGGTCGGCTGCTCTCCGTGTCTTCTTGCTCCATGGCGTCGACCCCCTGACTCCAACCGGGGGCCGCAGTGGTGGGTAGCGGTGCGGGCACGCCTGTCGCGTCGGGGCTGGTGTCGCCAAGGGGGCTGCTTGGAGAAACAGGGCTGGTGACGTCGTCAACGCTAAAGAAGGATGGAATGACATTCGGCTTCTCCTCGCGCCCTAAGCTGATGGGAGACGTGACAACGCTGTCCGTCGCACTCCCATCAGGCGACTTGTCCTGCGGCTGGCCGGCGATGTTGTCCAGGGAAGTGACAGTCTGCGGGAGGCCTACGACTGTGGGATTGAGGAGCGATTCCGCTGCGGCCTGCCGCTGTTGCTGCTGCTGCTGCTGCCTTTGACGCTCCAGGATGGCACTGAAAGAGCGTTGAATGAGTACGGCGGCGGCCTGCTGCCTCTGCAGCTCCAACAACAGCCGCTTCCGCAAAGCCTCCTTGAGCACGCCACTCCTGCAATGACGATGCAGACAGACCGAGACATATACAAGTCGAGCCACACACGTCAACACGTCATGTCTCTCGCTTCCTACTTGATAAGGCTGACGTCCCTGGCCTCCTCTTGCTTTTTGCCGCCTCCAAATGAGAACATCCGAATCCACGCGCCCTGGAGTCCGGCTCCAGCTGAATATCTTCGCTCGCCTCGCTCGCCCAACATCTCTTGAATATCTCGGAGATCCTGCGGCTTGAGCGTCGCCTCACTCCAGGCCGGGGTGCGCTCTTCCTCCACTGAAGTCCCCGAGAAGCCACGGCTGTGGACTGACGCCGGCGCTCTCTTGCGCGGACTCGATCCTTCACTTTCGCGTTGACTTGTGGTCGTCGGCTGCTCTACCGGCATCTCACCGCCAGTGGGTGACTTGACCTGCTCGTCTGCCGACATGATCGACCAGTTTTTGGGGGCGGTGTGGACGTCGTCAAAGAGGGTGCTCTCGGCCGGTATGAGTTTTTTGGCGGCCTGCCTCCGTCTGGTCCACGTGTGCTTGACAAAATCACTCAAGGAGGGCACCTCCTCGTGCACTTTGCTGCGGAGCTTCTCGCGGGTCTCTGGCTCGCTGCTCGCCGCAGACATATCGAGAGTGTAGAGACGGCCCATCCTGTAGAGTGATGAGAGCATAGTGCCATGGCTGTGAGCCTCTCTGTTGTTTGTCTGACCACGATTGCAGCAGTGATGCCCTCCTCTTGGGTGCGGCTCTGACGACAGATGTCGCGGCGTGCTCCTCGTGGATACTGCTAAAGCTCCCGTATCCAGTTGCCTGCTTCTCCCCCTCCTGCAGCAAATCGCTGCGGACCGCCCTGCAGCATAGCAAAAGGACAGGGAGAGACAAATACTCATGGCCTGGCATGTCTTCCGTTACGGGATTTTATTCACCTGAGTGTCCGAAGTTCCTGGAGATGGAGAGTGGGCTCTCTGTTTCGGCAGTGCATGTAGATGCCGCCGAAGATGCGGCAGACGAGGAAGTCGCACCACCAGGGGTGATAGCACCGACGGCCGACACAACCATTGATGCTGCGCTGCAATCTCGACCGCTGCGCATGAAGACCAAGACCGAAGGGAATGTGAGTCCATCTCCTGCCGTTGGTATAGGCATGAGTGTGCTTACGGCTTTGTGTCGTGTGCTGTCGCGACAACCGGCACACAGCAGACAACAGAACAAGAGTGAGAACATTGGTGCATATACACAGTAAACATGTATAGGTGTCCCCACTCGAGCAGTGGATCGGTCATCCTGATGAAACAACCAACCAATCACACAGGTGGATAACAAATTCAGAACACAATGATGCGGTGCGCTGTGTATTGACTGACCATATGTCCAACAAGAGCTGATCAGTGATACTGACGAACCGACAACGAACAGCAACGACGGTTGTGGTTCATGTTTTGTGTGCTTACGGGTTTTTGCAGTCGAAGTAGAGAGACAGCAGCAGACAAGTGGAGTGTATGGCGATCATTATCGACACGAAGAAGGCGGCTATGTTTTGTGTCCACGCGGTGATGTCGGCCATCCTGGCGAGGGAGTCACCAGCTCCACCCACCACCCCTGCAATGTGGCTGTCAACAATCACACTCCTGCAGACACAATGCAAGCACTCACACACGCATCATGGCCTGGGTGTGTCACGTCAGCTGACCTGAAGAGTGAAGAGAATTCTGTGAGGTGAGTACACTCGCAACAGAGGGTCGTCTCATTCGACAGAGCCAAATTCACTTGACAGCCTACACACATATACACACACCCGTTGATTCATTGGTCGACCGATTGATCCGTGCGCCACACGTGTGCATGGCTGACCTTGTGTGTCCCACTGGTGCGTCGATGTGTTCCAGAAGCCGCACACCACATGGACGTCGTACGCCCTCTCCGTCCCATTGACAGAGACATTGCCAGCCGCCGGCACGCTGTCAGCTGAGGGGCGAGGGATGAACAGCCGGAAGGGCTCTTGCTGACCGTCACCCGCCGTCAGCTGCAGGTCGCTGCCGCACTGTCGGGCCGACACAGCCAAAGTGCCCTGCGCTGCATTCGTGAGAGTGTCGTTGGCCGTCAGGTCGGCCATTGGCTCCTCGTCAGCGGCATAAGCGTATGGGTCGTCGGCCCAGAGGGTCATCTGCACACTCTCGCGCAGCCCGCCACCATCGGCGCACACGGCCGGCGGGATGGATGGCAATGAAGGCATGTCCACAACTACATTGGTGTCCTTGATCGTGAGTGTGGCCCCACTGGCCGTGTCTGTGCGGGCGACCTTCAGCCGCGTCTTGGCGCCCGCCACTTCGGCCGTGCCGTTTGAGTGTGCGGCTGCGCGTGTGGCGAGGCTGTCGGCCAGCTGGGCTGTGGTGCCGATGATATCAGATGACAACGTGTGATAGCTCTCGTTGGCAGCCGGTGTCAGCCGCCGAAGGTGTCGGTCCGCCTTTGCTGTCCTGTTGAGCTGTCTGAGGAGGCCGGCCGCCCCATCGAGATAGTACTGAAGGCCCTGCAGCTCCTTGACGGCATTCGCGGGGGTGTCGTCGGGCTGGGAGATGGTGTCCGCCGAGACGGCCGCGAGAGCCTTGAATGTCGCGACGCCCGCCTCCGCCGTGTCCATGTCGTCGTTCTCTGCAGATACAAGAGATGCAGACCTCGGCCAGGTGATCTTGTGGCCTTTCTACGCGCCGTACCTGTCTCATCGGCCGTCTCGACGGTGGTGACCAGCGTGACGGCGGACAAGAGCACTTCAGCCGGGCTGCTCGACACATCACTCAACTTTGTCGACCGATCGACAGCAGCCTGACCAGCCGCACACAGGACAGAGAAATTGGGTGCTGTCCTTGCCTGTCTGCGTGTCGTCATATACCTTTTGCAGGTTGCGCATGAGTGCCTTCACGACGGCTTTCCTTTGTGCCTTGGTCTCTTCCTGTGTGGAATTGGGCTTTGCCAGCCCGGCCATGTCCTCTTTGCGGGCCACTTTGGCGACGTTGATGGCTTTGAGGAGCCGAGAGCTGAAGTCGTTGGGAGACTCGACGGGCGGCGGTGTGGGTGGTTCCTCGCCCTCACCGCCCAGCAGACCGCCGATGGTGTCCTCTGCATCCGACACGTCAACTGCATCCTGGTTCTGCAACAAGTGAAAGAGACACGCGCACACATGAGACATACATGGACCGATGCAAGTGTCTCGTGTCTCGGTTGGGGCCAATCACTTTGAGATCGTCTAGGTTGTCTGTGACATCGTCCACGTCCACCGGCGGGGCAACCACCGGAGGCGCACCAGCTAAAGACAAACACGCAGGCAGCAGCAGCCAGCCGGTCGACGTTCATTGTGCCTCTCGCGTATCTTTCTCACTCACTTGTGGGCGCCATTGGCGGCTCCGTCGTGGAAGTTTCTGGCTGAGGGGCTATTGTCGGCGGTGCAGTGGGCACTGACGGGACAACAGCGCCTGTGGTCGGTGCAGCCGTGGTTGCTGGCGGAGGTTGGGCGGTTGTCGACGGTGGCAATGTCGTTGTCGTGGTCGTCACAAGAACTGAGGTTGGCGACCGAAGGTACATGCAAGCCAGCAGAGAGCTCACAAGAATGAGTGTATCGCTGCCATCCTGTCATGCGCTTACAGCAAGGCTCTCCTGGGATGGGGCATGTCCATCCTGGTTCTGTCTGGCATGTCTCTGAACATCCGTCGCCCGCCGCAGTGTTCCCGTCTGAGTCCAAGGAACAAGAAAACGATTGCAGGCGTCAAGACACTTTGTCAGGCGTCAAGAAAGCGATTGCAGACCATCGCAGGTTTCGGCGCCAACCACAACAAAGTCGCCGCAGATCTCAGGCAACGGCACCTCTGATCGATGAACACATTCACATAGCGAGGCAGCAATGCACAGGATCATAGATGCGTCAATGATGCAAAAAGAACAGACATGGTCGATTACCGAAGCAGTTCGCCGCACAGGAGCAGTCGAAATACGCAGAGTCGAAGTTAGGTTTTGACGTGAGCTCTTGCCACCCCTTGTCCCCCATCTCCTGGCTGCCCCACTTGAGATAGCACTTGTCAGAAGACTTTCCAAAGGCGAAGCCCTCACACTCTGGCAGCACTCGGCACTTGGCTGCACAGGTCTCAAACGTCATATCCTTTAATCCCCCGTAGCGAATGAGATCGCCTCCTGCCAGGTCGGTGTCGTTCAGTATCTTCATCGTGTCACACGCTGCGTACATGACAGAAGACAAAGAGTGCCCGCTTGTCTCTGTCTCTCCACCTGTGCTTCTCACGTCTAGGCCGTATAACGAAGGTGATGGGCTCATGCGATGGGCTGATGGTGTTGCCTGAGTAATCGGTGATGTCGGAGGACCCCTTGAGCCCGATAGTGACGTTGGCCGCGGTGATCCATGCAGGCTTGTTGACGAGCGCAAGCTATCAACATATACCAACACCGCAGAGAAAACAAAGGAATGTTTTTGCAGTGCCCTGCTCGTTTTCCACCTGAAATCTATACTTCTTGGACGGCTTCTCTCCTAGCTCTTGGTCCCATGAAGGCGGCGGGCTTTTTAAAACCTTTTCCAGGACAACGTTGTCGACCGTGTAGCTCACAGAGCCAGATGATCCGCCATTTGTCCATGTGATTTCGAGATCGCTGTGGTCGACGTTCTCTACTAGGTCGCTGAAGTGGAGTTCAGTCACGACCTGAACGTTGTTTTGGCTGTCATAATTGACGAAGATGGCCCCACCGGGCACAGCATTGTCTTCTTCATCCCCAAGACGATCGATCTTCCGTACGAACGATATCTCGGGCGGTTGCGTGTCTGGATCGACAACAAAGACGACGCATACACAACTATGTCTCGTTTGTCTGATTTCCAGCCGCCTTCACCGGTTTTGGTGGCGCATGTCCTGACGCTGGTTATCATGCTCCCAGCTGGAATGTCCGCATCGCCTGTGTCTCCGTAGAGAAGACAGTCTGTTGCATCTGGGTTACCCCCCGCTCCACCGACGATTCCCGTCTGAGCGTCGAACGCGTACATCTCACACGTGGGGTCATCGTAGCAGAGTCGACCTGACACGTGGAATGAATCAGATTGCGAGAAGGCCCGTAGAGGTAAAGAATGTCTTGACCTCTTACCGCAATGCCACCAGGAGTAAGCAGTGTCACTTGCCATTGGGATGGTCGATCTTTTCGAGCCCCAAGTCGTGTTGCAGCCTGGCAGACACACATACGCTGCTCACCATATGTCCCTTATACAAGTCCCTCTGCAAAGCCTGCTGTGATACGCACCCGAGTACACGATGAGTGTGTTTGATGGAGTGTTGGGCAGCCCGTCGCTGGTGCGAGTGAAAACATTGCTGGGCACGTGGAGCGTAAGCCAGCCTGGCTGCACGGGCCAGAGCCTCTCCTCTATCACGTTGCTGCTCGTATAGTTGATCCCCTCTATCGCCGCATTTACCCCGCCGGCACATTGCCAGCTTGTCAAGTCGGAGAAATCTGGAAAGGTGAGGTCGGAAATGTCATCCGAGAACGTCAGGGTTACGTCGACGAATTTCTTTTTGGGGTCGGGAAAGCTCGTGGGTGTCGTTATCATGACAGTGGGGTGCTCGGCTACACAAACGAAGGGAGACATGCAATAGGGGTAAAAATGTGTGTGTTCTTCCTTTCCTACTGCAGCCGCTGAGCTTCTTCTCGCACTGTTCAAGCATCAAAAGCAGCACAAGGAGCAGCACATTGTGACAAGATTGCTTCCAGGAGCGATGGCGTCTCCGTCGCTTACGATGGCTCGATTGTCATTTCCAGGATCCTTCGTGGAGAGCGCCAGCCGCCTGCAATATGATCATTGGCTTCAAATGGTACCAGACAAAGCAGAAGCATGTTGGCTCCTCTGATACCAAGGTTCCTCCCACTCGATTTTCCTGACGTCGACGCGCCCATAATCTGACGTAAAAGATTCAAGCACATCAGGTCACAGCAGCGTGCTTTCGATATCAATGTGGAAGCAACTTGACGACCCTTATTATAGTCCCAAGGTTGACGAGGTCTCCATGCGATATCCCATAACCCTCTCGACGGAGAGGTCCACTCCCATTCGCCAGCCGGATACCAACCATGGCGATCTGACACAGAGAAAAGCCGGGAACGAGAACAAGGGGGTGCGCATGGTGTCTCCGTGGGTATGTACGCGTGTATGTATGCATGGAGTATGCATGTCAGTTGACCTGCTTTGGTCCCTCCTACTTCGGGCAGAATGGGGGGCTCCCCGTCAGGAGTAACCCCGTGCTGAGCGCGAAAAGGGCCGATACGAGCACGCTGTCATCGATAAACGTCCTGACTGGTCTGCGTACTCGTTTGAAGGCTGCCCAGAATTTCTTGCCGTGGTCGCCTGCCGAGACGATCTGATCCGCGACCCATTGAGCTTCATATGAGTCGTCCACGATCAGCTGACATGCATAACCATACACACGGAAGTGGACTGGGATATACATAAGACTTCCACCTCACCTTACCAGGTCACCGCTCATGGAGGTATTTGTATTCCAACACGAGCTCTGCGCGTTGTCGAAGCTCTGTTCCACGTCGGGGTCGTAGTAGTAGTACTAATGAGTGGAAGAGAAGGAAAAAAGGACACATGAGAGCGCAACACATACATCCTGTACTGACGGAACACGATGAAGGTCTGAAGATCCACTCGTCTGGGAAAGCTGGCTCTCCATAATTGGTGGAGCCCTGGCAAGGCCGCAACAGGATGCCTCCTGTAAGACACGGGACATTCTTTTCGTCAGACAGGAGAGGGAAGAGAGCTGACTCAGATGTCATATAAATGCCTACCAATTACGAGGCAAGCTGTCAGGAGCATGCTGTTTAGTCCTCTGATGCCAGGCTCATGTATCGCTGTCGCACAGACGCCGGTGCAGCTTTCGATCACGACATTTGGCGGACGCGATGCACATGGGGGTCGAACGGATGGATGGGGGCGCTTCGCGTGGACCCGATCTTGGAATCCCGTGAGTCGAGGGGCCCTAGAAAAAACGCCTTGTTGCGCATCCCAGCGGCCGAGGAGAGCGTTTTTTAGCGACGGGAGCAACAGAGAACCGCTTGTTATGTGGCCCCAATTCTCTAGGGACCCAAAAATGCAGTTGGGCTTCCTGTGATGCGCTTTCCCATCGCTTTCTGCTCCTGTGAGCACTCAGTGCAGCACAATATTGACACCCTGGGCTGCTTGAGGCTCCTTTCGAGGCAGCGATGGGCTTGTGTGCAGCTGAATGGCTCGAAAGTATGTCGTTCTCAAGGGTTTTTCGTCCTTTCTTCACGTGTTAAAGGCCCTTCTGCGTGCTGTTCACGTTGCATTGAGCAGGCGCACCCAGTTTCCGCATTTTGACCGTGAAATCCATGCAAGCTCAGTCCATTGGTTCTTCTGTGTCCGTGAGCTGTCGCTCACTGCAGCCTTCACATCTTTTCGCACGTCCCTTGCGCCCTCCTCTCATCTGCAGCCCCCTGGTGAGCCTACTGCCCCGTAAGAGACACCTGGCTCTCCCATCACCCCCTCGATGACCTTCCCCTGGCAGAATCCCTCAATTGTTTGTGCTCCTTGACCCTCCAATCGCTTCCGCGGCCTCGTGGCTGAACCCCCACCTCAAAATACATCACATATGGGCACTGGGAGTAGTCAACTTACTCGACAAGACAGCTTCCAGGCAGCCCCCGCCACCTGATTGTGCGTATTCCTGCGCGCCTGCGCGCCTGCGCGAATCTTCTCGAGTAGGTCGATCGTTGAGAGAGATCTCGGCGTCGCCTTTTCCACTCTGCTGCGTCGTTTGTGTCATCGTACGGCCACCCCCATGCGAGGACCGACGTGGAAACCGGGCACCTCGCCTCGTGTGAGGTGTGGGTGCTCCACGACGCTCACAGAGGAGCAGCTGTCCAAGTTTCGCAGATGGCCATGTGAGTCAGACACACGCTGCTGCACACAGACAGAGAGGGGGACAGAGGGCAACAAGCGAGAGGAGGGGAGGGGTAGGTGTGCTGTGTCTCGCGTGTGTGTGTGTGTGTGTGTTCGCGTGCGTTGGCTGACCTGTGTTGTGTGGCGTGTGTGCGTCAGGCGAAAGCCTCAAGCAGATTTGGAACACTAACCTATGCAAGGAGCACCACATGGCCAAGTGCGCCCTTTGCTACAAGAACGTCTGCGAATACGGCGCCCGGTAGGCAGCAGAGAGCACCTGCATTGGAGGGGAGAGAGGGAGGGAGGGAGGGAGGGAGGGAGGGGCAGAGAGGCAGCCAACACGCACACACGACAAAGGAGGGAGACACAATCAAGAGTCGTAGCTACCGTGCTGTGCTGTGTGGTGTTGTGTGGTGTGTGCGGCTCCAGGTGCAAGTTCTCTCACTGCCCGGACTGGCTGCGTCGTCCGACGGAAGTCACGGCACAGCAGGACCGGCACTTCTACCGCACACCACGCCACCACCAGCACCACCAGCACAAGGTGAGCAGGCCAACGAGTGCATTCACTCACCTGTGTGTGGGTATGATTGTTTGTGTGTGTGTGTGTGTGTTATCGATACATCCATCATTAGTATGCCTACAAGCCGAAGTTGTGCCCCCACATCACCATCACGCGGCAGTCCCGCTGGAGGAAGGACGATGATGGCAGGTCCCACCAGTATGACGTCGACGTCATCACGGAGAGAAGCTGCCAGAGGTACGCCACCCAACCAGCCACTCGCTTGCCTATATACACGCATATACACACGCGCAGACAGTGGCTTGTACATTGCTGTCTGTGTGTTGGTGTGCCTGCAAGGGCCTGCAGATGGCGCCAGTGTGACTTCAGCCACTCACGGGTGGGTGCGGTGGGCGTGGGGGCACGAACACACACACCCACCCACCCACACACACGTGCATGTTCTCCTCTTGTGTTGTGTGTGGGTCTGTCTGTGTCTTTGTAGGAGGAGCAGTTCTACCACCCCCTTGTCGCTCGCACACACACAGACACACAGACACACAGGCAGACTCACCGGCCCAATTACACGCACGGGCAGTTGTCTCTCTCCCTCTGTGTGTGCGCATTTGGGTCAGGTGTACAAGCAGATCCCGTGCCCCTATGAGCCCGGCCAGTGCCCGCCCGGCTGCTGCCCCTGCTGTAAGCACACACACACACACACACACGGCAAAACGCACAGATGGCTCTTTCAATCCATCCGTCAATCCTGACCTGCATTCTACGCAGACCACTCCGACGCCGAGCGCCGTTCGACGACATCAACTGATGAGCTCAACGACTACCTGCGTAAACAAGCACGACAACACACACTCAGACAGACACGGCCATCGACCACACCGACCGTTCTGTTTGCTGCGTCTGCGCAGAGATCAACGTCCATGACCGCTCGGCGGTGAAGGCGATTCTGCCGGTGGTGTACGACGACAGATTCCTGTCGCTGGAATTGGGAGGGAGCCACCACACCGTGCCTCGCGACCGCAGAAACCACGCAGCATCCAACGGCAGCAACAGGTGGGTGTGGTGGGAGAGAGACAGAGAGAGGGAGGGAGGGAGGGAGGAAGGGACACGTGTGTGTGTGTGTGTGTGTGTGTCAGGTCGTATGTGTCGGGCAGAGGCACTCAGGGTGTGGGCGGCTGGCCCGGGTCGTCCGCCCCGATGGCCGTGGCGCTCGACGGCAAGAGGACGGTGCGCATCACCAGCTCGCCTCTCCCGGTGGGTTGGGCTGTCAACACTGCATGCGCACAACACATCCGGACAGGTACACACATGCACTGTGTCGTGTGTCCGTTGCGTAGTGTCTGTCAGGTCTACGAGAGTCCCATCTTCTGCAGTCTGTTCAGCGGCAACATGGAGTGCCGTGTGAACGGCAACAGGCAATTCATCGTGCCCGTCATGATTCAGGTACCCCCACACAACACACACACACACACGCACAGAGAGAAAGACAGAGAGAGAGAGAGAGAGAGAAAGCGGCTGCATGCCCGCTCGCAATCGGTGTATCTCTCCCTCCCTTCGTGTGTACCTGTGTTTGTGTGCCAGCATTTCTCCCTGGAGCACAACCAGCCCTACGAGTGGGTCATCGATTGCCACCAAGACCTCGCCAGCCCGTTCTTCCAGACAGCCACACCCATTACCCACAGCGGCAGCCTCACCCACATCCAGTGGGGCGGGCTGCAGGGCGTCCACTGGATGGGCCTGCTCAACGGAGGACACCCACACGCCTCCATGGGCCCGCCTGCACCCGTCCTGGACATCGTCACGGCGCGGTTTGACCACCTGCTGCTGGGCAACGACGCGATGCTCCGAGGGCTGCAGGAGGGCTGGATGGGCACAAGTGGGCTGAGCGCCAGCATCAACGGTGAGTGAGTCGTGGGGCACTGACAGGAGAGAGAGAGAGAGAGAGAGAGATTGGGGATGCATGTGTGTGTGTGTGTGTGTGTGTAGTGTTGCGTGTGCTGAACGGGTTCGTCGAGTCGGTGGCGGGTCTGCACGAGCAGGGCTGGGCCCACACGGCCCTCTCGCCCCAGTGCCTCTGCGTCACCAACAACATACCCACGGTCAGCCAGTGGGTATCAATTGGTGGCACAGACACAGCACAATACCCATCGCCAAGTGACACCTTCTTTGTGTGTGTTGCCTGTCTCTGCCTTTGTTTCAGTTGGGATTCGATGGCAATCTCGTTGTCCTCAACATGGCCGTGAGGGCCCTTAAGACGGGCGGCGGACACAGCGCACTCGAGCTCGCCATCAATACCATCAAAGCCGTAACCTGCACAACACACACAACACAGCAGGTCCTCTCACCAACCGCTCTCTCTCTTTCTGTCTGTGTATGTGTGTGTGCGTGTGGGTGGGTGTGTGTTCAGCTGCGTCAGTCCCCGTTGATCAGATGGATGGCGCCCGAGGTGCGCACGATGCTGTTTGAGCTGGCCGAATACGCCGCGGACCCCCACCGACACGCGCCACCCGAGATCGTGCTGCAATATGACGGCAAGCTGCCGGCAGAGTTCTTCAAGACGGCCGATGTGTGGTCTGCAGGTCAGTAGCGAGTGACTCAGGGAGAGGGAGAGAATGGATGTCTGTCCCTTGTGTGTATGGTGTGTGTATGGCTGGCTGTAGGTGCGTGTCTGCATTACCTCGTGAACGGCGGCGAGCATCCCTTCGGCAACGACACCACCAATCCCCAGACCATCTGCCCCAAGTGAGCCAAAGGACAAGGAGGAAGCCGCTCGTGTGCACGTGTATGTCTGTGTGCGTGTGGTTGTGTGGGTGATGCTCACAGGATGGACACTCTCAACAACGGCTGGGAGTACGAGCCGGCCTTCGTGGGCGGTGCGTGCCCTCCCCAATCGCTGTTCAAGACTTTGGTCGCATCCCTCCTCCACCACGACGCCAACAGCCGACCCACCATGCAGCAGGTACACAGATAGATAGACACGCACAGATACAGAGGAGGGGAGGATGGGGGGAACGTGGTCGATCGGTGCTGTGTGGTGCGGTATGTGTTGGTGCAGGTGTCTGCTCACCCGTTGTTCTGGCCTATCAAGCCCGAAGAGGCGCTGCGACACGTCCAGGTGGCCCTGTCCAAGAGCTGGATCCATGCGAGTGACAGGCCCGCGGTTGAGATGCTGGGAAACCTCGCAGCGGACCGGAACGGTCAGCTGCACACACACACACACACACACACACGAAAGGCAACACGCATGTGTTGTGCATCGTTCAGCGTTTGGCATACTCGAGTTTGTGCGCAACGACGCCCACAGCGCCGTGCTGACCTACCTGTGGCGCACCCACACGCTCAACCACACACCTCTTGCCAGCATCATCCCGCCCCCCGACAGCTTCACCGGCAGCTGCCCCACCCCCTGCGCGTCGCCCTTCGGCTACTGCCCCACACCCGCACCCACACTCACGCCGACTCCCTCGCCCTCGCCGGTCATGGTCCAGCCCATCCAGACCATCGGCATGGGTATGGGCATGGGCACCTTCGACGAGCCCATGGGCTCGCAACACTCATCGCCGAGACAGGACCATGCCGCAGAGGGGCGGGAGGCCTTCCCGGCCCTGATGATGGGCGGCGTCGGTGGCGGCAGGGTGGTGACCGACCAGCAGCAGCAGCAGACGCCGATGGACCACATGCTGCCCGTGCTGCCCCCGACCAACACCACTCCATCCATCCCACCTCCCGTCTTCAACCCCGACGGCGGCTTCGTGCCCAGGCACCCACAGACCGGACTCCCCCTCGCCTCGCTGCAACACGCGCCCCAGGTGCCCGTGGTGATGCCGACGCTGCAGGAGTCCGCCACCTTCTCACTCACACCGCCGCCCCTGACGGACATGATGGACATTTTGCACGACGGCACCCAGCCACTCCCCGGCATGACGATCGACGCTCCCGTGAGCATGCCGGTGCCGATGCCCGCGCCCATGGCCGCTCCGCAGCATGTGGGGGCTGCCAACCAGTTCGCGCCGCTGCTGCAGCGGACGGCGGTGGCCCGCCGTAACAGCCTCTGGGCGAGCAAGGTCTTGATCAATGTCTGACCGCACACACACACACACACACACAGGTGGATACATGCGTACACATACATACAATAGGTACGTACACAATTCATACATACATACATACACAAATGGAGGGGATGGGTGCACGCACTTTCAAGGGCGGATTTTTGGTTGGCTGCTGGGTGGGTGGGTGGGTGAGTGGGAGGGAGGGAGCGAGACGTGGAAGCATGAAGGAGAGAAAGAGGAATGATAGAGCGCGTGTCGAGTTTCGTATTTGTGTACCATATCGCCGTAGGGAGCTTGGCCCTGGCCGCGTACCTGTGTCGATGTCGTCGATTGGCCTTCTGTGATTCTGTGATACATGAAGAGACGGGACGACGGGGGGGGGGAGGAGGACCGGGAGAAGTGCCCTGGCTAATGCTTGCAGGGTCCGATGACACTGGACCCTGCAAGATGCATACCTGCATGCAATAGAGATGGACAGGGGGAGAGAGAGAGCGGTGGGTGCGTGGATGCTTTGTGTGGATGCCTGTGTGCATAAGTATATACACCATATCACGCGTGTACGTGTGTACGTGTGCATGTGTATGTGTATGTGTATGTGTATGCGTGTATCGTATACATATATATACGTATCCATATATATGCAGCAAAGGTATGCATACATTTGCCCGTCTCTCTACAGGTTTTCTGGCTGTCTGTCTGTCTTGCTCACTTGTCCAAGTGAAGTGAATTTTGCTACAGGGCAGACCGGCTCGATGCGTAATGCGTGTTTGCATGTCTGGGACGGGGTGGGCGGTCCGGGTGCGTAACAGGTCTGTCTGCTGAAGGTCGCTCGTCGTGTGTGAGACCCATTGTCTGAAAAGGCAGGACACACACACACACACACACACAGAGAGAGAAAAGAGAGAGAGAGAGAGAGAGACAAAGGTGATTAAGTGAGTGAGTGAGTGAGAGGCAGTGCAGCCAGCACTTGCAAGTGTTGGGTGGAGTCTGCCTTCCCACTAACTCACCGAAGGCGTTTTTCGGAATCGTTTGTTCCTTTCTCCCTCCTTTAATGAGTAATGATGCCTGCGTGAATGTCTGTCTGTCTGTCTGTCTGCTCATGCAGCGTCATGCGTGGTGGATAAGCGCGTCAGTCACTCACTCCCTCTGACGGCTGATTGATTAATGGACCCTGCCTTCCTGCCTCTGCCTGCTTGCCCGCAGAGCCGTCAAGGCTGGGTGTTTTGACGGACGGAGTCCGCGTGCCTGTGAGTGTGCCTGTGAGTGTGCCTGTGAGTGTGTGTGCGTGTGAGTGAGTGTGAGTGAGTGTGTGAGAGTGTGACTGACGACTCACTCTGTGCGTGTGTGCTTGCCTGATGTATGCTTAATGACATCGTTTGTGTTGCAGCCGAAGTCAAACGAAGGTTTTCCTGCTCTCCTCGTGCTTGCTGCAAACCTGACACCTGAGCACACCAACACAATTCCATCCATCTGGCATCTGCATGCACACACACAGAGAGAGAGAGAGAGAGTCAGAGAAAACCATCTGTCCGTGCGTAACACTGATGCGTAATGAATGTGTACCATGTGTGTCTGTGCGTGTACATGTGTGTACTGACTCGAGCTCGTGCACGTGCATTGTCTACTGCATGAATTCATGACCACCCCCTCTCTCTGTGTGTCCGTGAACGTGATGTGGAGTGCATTTGAGTATGGCCCGACTGGCTGCCTGTCTGTCTGGGTTACCGTGCGTAACGGGATGGGATGGGATGGATGGATGAATGGATAAGTGTCTGCATGCATGGGTGTGGCTGTCTTCTCGGTGAGTGCGGTGCGGCACGGGCAACTGACCTTCAGAGGGAGCAGTGGGGGGGCTGTGTTCACAGGGATGAGTCGGGTCGTTCTGTATGCGCGCGAAAGACAAACGACAGCGATATGCATGCCGAAGAGGACTCCGGTGGCACATGCTTGCGCTCTGACGGACGAAAAAGGTTCAAAATCACCATCAAGCTCGCATCACGACCCCCACGGCCCCCATCTCCAGAGCAGTCTCGGAGTGTTTGGGGAAGCTGTAGGCCTCCTTGCTCAGCCGTCCACGTCATCCTTGCTGGCTCAATGCCGTCCGCATCGCTGCCCCCACTTCCTCTCCCCCCCATCCCCGCCACACATGCCGCTGCCGAGCAGGATATTCTGCCCACCATACTCCAGCACCGGCGGAGGGGCAAGGACAGCCAGCCACAGCCGGTCATCCCCATTCCCACAATGCAGCCGCGGAACACCTCTCAGCCGGCCAACAGAGCAGAGGAGGCTGCAGCTGCTGGACCCCATCCAGAGTCTCTTGAGTGGTCTTACATGCGGACTGACAGCATCCGAAGCTTCCACAGCAGATTGAGGCGCCTTCGGGCTGACCACTCATCGTTCGAAGTCGAGGTACTCTCTCGTCAAAGGGACATTCGCATTCACCAGACCCTTTGCTTGTGTGTATTCAACTTGCTGACAGGCACGTATCGGCATTGGCGCCAAGAAGGAGATGCGTGTCGAGCTGGCACGCTCGATGCTGAGGCCCGTCGAGAAGGTGGAAGTAACAAGACCAAAGCGCGTAAAGAAAACCAAGAAACCGCCTGAGGCCGGCGAGGCCCCTCCCACCGAGACCGCGCCACCACAGCCTGTCCGAGAAGAGGCGAAAGCTGAGGAGCCGGAGTCCCCATCAGCCGAGGCAAAGGAGGCCACGGCCACCGAGGACGGCGCCATGGAGGAGATACAGGAGAGAGTCATCTCCACGGCCAACTCTGGCAGCGACCAGCACCGTGTCTCTCGCGGTTCGTTTGCCTTTGGGCTGGTTGACCGCATCGTCGAGAGCAACCTGAGCAACCTCAAGGACGTGACGCAATCGGGCGGCGAGGGCAACGGCGCTGCCCCTGACACGCACCGGTCGGTGAGCAGCAGCGTGGGGTATGCGCGAGAGGTGTGCAAGGAGGCGATGGATGCAGCATACAAAGGGCTGCAGGACAACTCGCAGGAACAGATGGCTTGAGGCAGAGAGAGAGAGGGGAGGGGGAAGGGTGGAGGGTGTTGTCTGCAGGTGAAGCTGGGCCAGGCCAGTGCTCGCGTGTGTGGGTAATGGATGCGTTTGTTGAGCGGGTTTGACTCTCGCGGTTTTGTTGATTCAAGGACGATTGGATGTATCTACAATGTTGACGGTATTGTGGCACTCACATACAGTCGACTGAGTCGTTACAAACAACAAATACACACCAGCCCGTCGACATACAAAGTCATCACGAGATGACCCCCTCATAGACACGACCCTTATTGTCTTCAGCTCATATCTCCAGCATGCGCCTCATCGTTCTGTTAGACGTATCGCTGAGCCAACAAGCACACACACAGACGAGCCAAGGAAAGCAGGAATCGTCATCCAACCGCCTCTCTGTCTGCCAGCTTTGCCCTACTTATCCAGCTTACCTGCATGCTGCTGCCGCTTCGATCTGACCCAGGAGCTCTCGGTGGCTGGCCAGCACGTGCTCGTCGAAGTCCCGCGTGTTGCCGATTTCCTTGCCGCACTTGAGCGTCTCGATAGCCGCGCGGCAGATCATGTCGATGTTCAGCGGCAGAGCGGTCAGCACGCTGCTGAGAAAGTGCTGCGCCGACCCCTGAGCGACGGCTGACCCCACCTCTGCATGACGTTGCCATGGCCGCTGTCTTTGCCGCAGATCATCCTGCCCAGCAGGGCGGCCGCATTCCGTGCTCATCCGGCGTGGTCGTCGAAGCCGCAATCGAACAACAGAGGCGGCGCGCCAGAGACTTTCTGCGGGCGGCCGTCATCCGACCGAGTGGCATGTCGATGTAGACCATCCAGCTGGGTGTAGAAATGAGTGGCTGCAGGCGCAAGAGGTCATTTCAAACGATGCTCCATCTGCCGAGAGGAGGCCCTCCCGGACGTCGTCGGTCTCCCGCCCAAACGGCTCACTCTCTGCGTCCTCCTGACTCATCGGCGCACGCTGCAGGCACACAGGCACACACCAACACGCGGAACGAACGTGTAGCCGAACCCATACAGTGCATGAGTCAAGTGCAGAGCTCACTTGAATCGAAGCCAGGTGTATCTGCAGGTTGTTTTGACTCGTCGACGTGTGGCGAGGCCCTTAAACACGTGAAAACCGCAGAGGCCTTGCGACTGCAGGGTTTAGGGTTTGGGGTTTGTCCACCCGAATCCGAAGACAGTCCAGGGGTAGAGTTACGCCAATACACACATCGGCGCCTGTGCTGGTTCTGCGAATTGTGCCTTGAGAGAAGAGGCGTCGACTCCATGCTGACAGCACAGCGCTCTGGCAGAGGATCTGTCGCTTCAAGTTCAGCAGCAGCAGTGAGCGCCGACCCCCCGCCCTCCCCCGACGCGGCATCCCTGCGGCCTGCCCCAGATGGCCTCTCCCCTTCACGCCTGCTGCTCGCAAGAGCAGATCACACACACTCCCACAGGGCGGCAGCCGATACTCCGGCAGCGATAAGGACGGCCACATTGTCCCCCGGTGGTCAGGAGTGGCACCTGACGTGTCGGCTGGCGTCGCTGTTTGAGTGGGTTCGGCGGATGGGTGTGGCGGAGGTCATGGCCGTGCTGCAGTGGACCACCGTGGCGGTGCTCCTCTCAATGGCTCTCGCACTGTATGGCAAGAAACGTAAGCCGACCGACCGACCGACCGACCGACCGAAGCGATAGGCAAGGCGTGGCAGCTGTCATCATCTTGGGCGTCACTGCTGTCTGTCTGTCTGTCTGTGTGTGCGATTCAGAAACGCTGCCGGGTGTGGAGGTGCTGCGTGTGGAGGAGATCAAGGTGGCCCAAAACACCTTCCTGCTCATTTCACTATCCGCACTCGGTCCCGCGGTGAGCGAGAGTGACCAGACAAACGCCCATCCAGCCAGCCAGCCAGCTGGCCGGCCAGGCAGAGAATGGCATCTACTCCGCCCGTGTTGTGCCCCTGGCCTGGCTGCAGGCGTTTGCGTTAGTTCCGGCGTGCCTGGCGGTGGTTCCCTGGGGCTGCCGCACGGCCCATGAGCTGAGCGGCCACATGGGAGGGGTGGGCATGCACTCGAGGGAACGGAGGCGGTCAAGATGCTGCATGCTGTGGCACTCATTCTCGGCGTTTGTCGCCGCGGCGGTGAGTGAGAATATATGGTTGTAGGAGGGAGGGACATCAGCCGCGCCATGCCATGTGGTGATGCGTGTTTGTCTGTGTCGTGTGGTTTGTCGCGTGTGCCAGGGTTCGTGTGGCTTCGCTTTGATGGGCGGGATGCTTAGCGATCTGATCAAGGACCTCTGCAACGCGTTCGGGAGGATAGGCCAACCCACCGGCAAAGAGGTGACTGACTGACGCATGAAGGAAGACACAGGAGTTTTCTATGTGGCTATCGCTCACCCCACCTGTCTCTGTGTGTGTGTGTGTGTGCGATTCAGGCGCTCAGCCGCGACTACGTGTGCATCAGCGACGGCTTCTACGACAGCCTCCTCTACCTCGTGTGGGCCGCTGCAGCACTCCAGGCGCTTGACGGACTCATATGGTACACACCAACACACAAGCACCCCCCCCCCCCCCCCC